GCTCTGCAGACTCCTAGTGGTGCTTGTGGGTAAGCCTCTGGAAGAGATATTCTCCTAGGCCCACCTGGAGGTCAGCCACTCTGTGGAGGTTGGTCAGGTGATTGTCCATATTCTTGATAATTGTCACGTCACCGAGGAAATGGTTCTCCAGAAAGTCACAGAGGTGGGGGTCTGTGTGGGTAGCACCCACAGTGTACAGGTTCTTCTCCAGGGCCAGGGTGGCTCCCGTGTCATCCACGGTTCTTCCCCACTCATTTTAGGACGACTTCTGCACCTCCTGGAAGACAGAGCAGCTGCCATGCTGATTTTGCAGTTTCAAAAGATGCTCAGCACCCTCATGCTTCTCCTTCAACAACTCAAGGAAGAAGTGTCTTATGCCTTCCAAGGCCACATCACAGCGATCAAAATAGAAACCTAGAGCAAGGTGGTGTAAGAGGCCCGCAGATACAGGTTGACTGGACAGTTGATGCTGGCCTCTGCTTCAGTGAAATAATTCTGACAGAACTGAGAGCACTCTGGTAGCGCAGTGGTTACAAATTGAGCTGCGAACCTTAAGGTCAGCAGTTCAAGACTACCAGCTGTTCCACGGGAGAAAGATGAGGCTTTCTGCTCCCATAAAGATTTACAGCTTCGGAAACCCTGTACAGGGTCGCAATGAGTCAGAACTGACTCCACAGCATACAACAACACCCCCCCACACACAAAATGGTGTTTAGCTGGTCCTGGAAACAGGAGACGGCCAAGAAGACGGTCCCGGGGAAGAGATTGTGTCTAAAGAGATACTTAGAGGTGGTCTGAGGCTGGAGGTGGGGAGTCCCCAGATTTGTTCCATCCATACACTGCTGAAGCAGGAGACAGATCACAAGACCACCCAGGAGAGCTTCAGAAATATATTTAACATGGAGGAAAAGTTCAAAGTATGAAAAAATTATAATAATCGGTATAATATGGCACCACTTTTGTGAAATCATATTAAGTATAGAAAATGGTAAAGGGTCTGAGAAAATGCATCTTTAAGTAGTAGTGTCTGAGTGAATGATGGATGTTTTTAACTTGTCTGCGTATCTTTTCTTTGTTGTATTTTTTAGATGCGGTTGAGTTGGTTCTGATAGTGACAGAATCAAACTTTGTAAAGGGCCAATTGTTACATTTGAACCCACTGTTGCTCCACTGTGTCAGTCCATCTCATTGGGGTTCTTCCTGGTTTTCACTGACCATCCATTTTTATCAAGCATGATGTTCTTCTCCAGACACTGATCCACCTGACCTGTCCAAAGTACAAGACACTAAGCCTTGGCCATCCTCATTTCTAAGATCACTGGCTGTACTTCTTCTAAGACATATTTGTTTTCTTTCTGATAAGTATGGATTGCTCTTGTATTTAAATTATAAATGCCCTTTATAATCCATATTTGATTCACCCTCTGACAAGCCAAGTGAATAGTGTTCTTGATAACAGATTTTTATGGTTAACAATTTAAAGATCAATTTGTACCATTATTTGAAAAGTTATTGTTTTCTTTTTAGATCTGACATTGATCTATTTATTTTCATCACTGTTATCAGTGTGCTGAACTAGTTATTGATAATTAAGAGAGTAACTTTCTGTTAAGTACTGATCCTAGAAAATATGTTCAAAGTTGTCTATTTTTTTCTGTAACAGCTGAAGAGGACTAGTTGAGGATTCACTTTATCACAAAAGGGTAACAGACTGTTTTGGATCTACTTAATGCACTATTAGGTGTCCTGGTGATGCTGTAGGATCAGGACTGGACTCTTAACGAAAGGTTGGTGGTTCAAACCCACCAGTGGCTCCACGGGAGAACGATGAGGCCATCTGCTTCTATTAAGATTTATAGCCTTAAAAACCCCATACAGGGCCTGTTATGAGTCGTAAACTGATTCACTGGCACTGGGTTTGGTTTTTAACACCCTAGTTACTAGTCAGGAGCCCTGGAGGCGTAGTGGAATAATAATTCGGCTGCTAGCCACAAGGTCAGCATTTAGAATCTGCCAGCTGCTCTGGGGAGAAAGATGTGGCTTTCTGTTCCCATAAAGATTTACAGCCTTGGAAACCCTATACAGGGTCGCTATGAGTCAGAACTGACTTAAAAGCATTCAGCAGCAGCAGTCACTAGTCAGATAAAACAAAACTGGTAGAATCTTTTTGGTTATTGTTTAAAACAGAAATGTATTGTCTCAAACTTCTAGATGCTAGAAATTTGGTGTAGGGAAGACCATTTTTCTCGGAAGGCTGTAGAGGAAGATCTTTGTCTCTTCCAGCTTCTGGGAGCCCCAGGCATTCTTTGGTTTGTTGTAGCATATAACTCCAATCTCTGACTTGTTCTCATGTGGCAGTCTTTCCTGTGTCTGACTTGTCTATTTATAAGGACACCAGTCATACTGGCTTACAGATTGGATTAGAGCCCATTCTAGTCCAGTATGATCTCATGCTAATTAATATATTTGCAAACTCTTCATTTCTAAACAGTTACTTTCATAGGTATTGGGAGTGTGGGCTTCAATATACACTTTTGGGGAACCCACATCAATCCATAACAAACTTCAACAATTTGCCAGTTTTTTTGTTCACCTCTGATCAGGATACTGTCTTCCTTCCCATTAAAAACAATGGAGGTACATTTTCAGCCAAACAATTGATTGGATTACAAAATAAGCAACAACTACCTGTGAGTAATATGGATGCACCTCTGGTGAAGAAGTGAAGACAGTGGTGCATTCACGGTTCACAGCTCAGCCTACATCATTTTTTTAAAGGAATACAAAAGCTTGTTGACAGATGGACAACAAAGTGTATTGAAAAGCAAGATTATGTTGAAAAATGATTTTGTCTTTTCCTATAGTAGGTTCAAATAACTTCTACAGCCAGAGTACAGATAATCTGGCAACCTGACATCTAGTCCGTTTCTATTTCCCAAGTCTCTTCAAAAATATCTTTGGGTTCATTTCAAGTCACTGGACTTGCATTTAGGAGCCCTGGTGGTGTAGCGGTTAGGCTAATTGAAAGGTCTGCAGTTTGAATGCACCAGCTGCTCTGTGGGAGAAAAACATGGCAGAGCAATTCCTCCACACATCACCACTACCAGACTATAGCCTTAGTAAGCCGCAAGGATAGTTCTACTTTATCCTACAGGCTCATTATGCGACGGGAGTCAACTTAGTGGCAGTGGGTTTGGTTTTCATTCTTTTGTTCTCTAGTCTCCACACTTTTTCAGAGCTCAGGTCTTACTCTATAAACTCTGATCTTTCAGAGAGGCAGTCCTTACTGAATTTTGAGTCCTTTAACTTTTAATATTGGCAAGGCCCTTGTCACATTTGCAAAATCAGCACAGCTGCCCTACATCTTGACAGTTTAGAGAGCAAATTCCAGTATACATGTAAGGTTGGTGGGTCAAATCCCCCAGTTGCTCCTTAGAAACTCTATTCAGGGTTGCTGAATTGGAACCAGCTCAACGGCACTAACATATATAACATGGGTTCCTTGTGTGGTGCTATAGGATAAGTACTAAATTGCTAACTGCAAGGTCAGCAGTTCAAACCTACAAGCTGCTCTTCAGAAACCTGAGTTGCTGAGTCAGGAGTTGACATCACTCAACATACATAACACATATGTGAAAGCAATTCTCAAATACTGCGCATATAACATAGTAGACATAGTTCTAGCTTCTTTTATATTTGCAAGTCTGTCAAGTGCCATCAAGTTGATTCTGACCCACAGCGACCCTGTATAGGGTTTCCAAGGAGCAACTGGTTGAACCACTAACCTTGCAGTTCAAATGACTTTGTAGTCTGACGAATTAGCCCACAGCGCTACACATTTACTTTGCTTCAGGGGACATTTCATTAAACCAATATAATTGTTCAAACCAATCTTGCATCTCTGCTTATTTTACAGTGCCATACCAGGACTCCTAAAATACAGGTGGTATTAGTCACTTAATGTCCACAGTTATGTTCCGTGAAACACAGTATGTTGATTTGGATGTTGCATGAACATCTGTTCTGTGGGACTCAGCAGCGCTTGCTGCAAACACCTCAGGCAACTGGGTCCTACCTGGCTGTCTAGAGCTGCTAAGCTAGCTGTAGGGAGCATGTCTGTAAGCATCCCAGGGAAAGTAGGTACAGCCCAAGGGAACTGAGGGCTACTGTTCAGTTCTGAAGCGCCCATTAGATTAGTGCATGACAAAACCACATTTGGTAAAATGGGCACTAGATCCATCATGTCACATGGGAACAGAGGGGGACTGAGAGTTTGGGCCTGGGCTTCCATTGCCGCAGACAGGGTGACTTTAAGGTCCAGATCTCTGATCTCAAGATGAGGGTCTGGAGTCCTAGCACTCAAGCTAGTTGGTCACCAGACCCACAGATGTGTATGTAGCTGGCTATTGCCCAAACAAACATTAAGCAATATGTAGGTGCTCAAGTATTAAATAAATAAACATTTCACCGATTTAGATTAAAAAAAAAAAAAAAACCCCACAAAAATTTCAGAAGACCAAACAATTCTATGCATGCACTTGAAAACATTCTTTCATAAGTGGTATTTTATTGTTTAAAAGTCAGTACAGAGAGACATTATGAACAATTTGTATACAATTCTTAATGTATGTACCAAAAATCTAAGAGCCATGTAGTTATAATTATTTTCTAAATTCCAGTGACTTTCCAAATTTAAATTTGGAGGCAAATTTTCCTTTGTACTAAAACTTTCAAGTACCAATATCTTCAATTTTTGACAGTCATAAGTCCTACTAATTTTCACAATTTAACATCACACACACTACACACTCAAATTTTCAAGCTTTCACAGCACGTAACAATGTTATGAGGAAAACAGGACTACCACGACCAAAGATGTCACAGAACGCACATAGTCTGACAGGCAGTCAGGATGAGTGGAACAATTCTACTGAAAAACAGCATGGAAAGAATTTAAAATGTTCAAGTCACACAAACGCATGACCATGATTCCCAATTGCCATTTAATATGCTTTGAACTATGGGATATAAAACTCCCCCCACCCCCAATGGAATGTTAAGGTGACACCCAAGATAGTCAAAACCTCCCACCAGTCAACATCCCACTATTTTCTGGTTGTACCAAAAAATAAACAACCAGGAAATGATTTCACCTCTTAAAAAAAGCATTTACATTTAAAAAAATGGGATGAAGTGGGATTTCCTCCATCTTAAAAATGTTTCTAGAGCTACTAAAAAACTTGCATTTATAAAATAGTTGATAAAAATATTCCTCTGGATTGTACAAGAAGAGAGATAGAATACAGGACCCACTGATACGACATGGTAGACAAACATTAATCCGACTTGGCTTCTTTCTCTCCTGCTTCATCAGAGGCTGGACTCTAGAAATCAAAGGAAAAAAAATGTTTGATTTTTGTTTGTACTGTGATCTATCTTTAGCATTTACCTCAATATACGTTTTATATTGAAACTCTAAGAAAAAAACCCAAACCCACATCAATCAAGCTAATTCCATGTCAGAGCAATAAAGTAGAACTGCTCCATAGTTTCCAAGGTTGTAAACCTGTATGGAAACAGATTGCCACCTTTCTCAGAGCAGATGGTAGGTTTGAACCATTGACTTATCAGTTAGCAGTCAAAGATCTTGACCAATGTGCCACCAGGGCTCCTTTATATGTAACAACTAAGTTTTTAAAAGATAATTAAATAGCATGTACTGGAGATCACATTTTTGTTTTCCCTACATAACTGAGACTATATTCGTTAATATGGATGCAAACAGTAGTTTTATTACATACGGCTCAACATGGAATAGTTAGGATGTAAAATTTAAAAAAGTTGAGATAAAATGTCGACACAACTCAAAGAACAAGCACAACAAAAACCAGAAAACAGAAGCAAATACTGTTTAATGATGATGCACGGAGGAGGTTG